CCCTCACCCCAATAGCCAATAAATGTTTCAAAAGACTGGTCATGACCCACATCAAAACAACCATCAACATCAGCAAGGACCCTCACCAGTACACATACCACACAAATCAATCAACAGAGGACACATCTCCTCTGTGGTCCACACTGCTCTCACCCACCTGGAGCACAAGGACTCCTACGTCTGTACGCTCTTTGTGGACTTCATGTCTACCTTCAACACCACGATTCCCCAGACCATGATGAACAAACTACTCACACTAGGACTAAGCTCATCCCTATAGAACTGGGTCCTGGACTTTTCAACCAACATATCACAGTCTGTGAGGATCCACAACTTATCCTCCTCCACCAAAACCCTCAGCACTGGCTCTCCTCAGGGCTGTGTGTTGAGCCCCCTCCTGTTCACTCTGCTCACGCATTGACTGTGCAGTGTGCAGCTACCCATCCAGGCTGCCACATTGTAAAGTTTGCAGATGATACAGTGGTGGTGGGATGCATCACAAACAATGATGAGTCCAGCTACAGGCAAGAGGTGGAACACCTGGAGAGCTGGTGCAGGAAGAACAAACTTCACATCAATGTGAAGAAGACAAAGGAGATGATTGTGGATTTCAGATGGAGCAAACACACTTACCCCCGCCCCACAACATAGGAAAATTTGCGATGGAAGTGGTCTCCAGTTACAAGTACTTGGGTGTGCACCTGAATGACAAACTCAGCTGGGGCAACTACACCACCAGCCTGATGAAGAAAGCTCATCAGAGACTCTACTTGGAGTCGTGGAGACTACTACTCTTGGAGTCAGTCTCCCCACCATCACAGACATCTACACCTCAAAATGCAGGAAGAGAGCCACCTGCATCATGAAGGACCCCACTCACCCAGCACACACATTTTTTGCCCGGCTCCCCTCAGGCAGGAGGTTAAACTGAGGAACAGCTTCTACCCTGAAGCTGTTAGACTCATGAATCTCTAACCAGACAAATCACTGTAATACCATTTTAATTGCTATGTCACTTTATCCATGCTGCTGATTATCCATTCTGCTGATCTCTTACTTTAAACTGCTGTATTCATACCCATCTGCTCACTACAGACTCATGTTCAGGCTGCTGTTTAATGCACCGTATTATGTTACATTATTATTGTTTATCATCTATCTTAGGTCCTTGTATACCGTTTCTTTTATTTATATTTTCACTATTGTTGGATGTAACTGGGACCCTGTGTACACAATTTTGTTCCACCTCTTGTACCACATGTGGTGCGAATGACCGTAAAAAACCTTGAACCTTGATCTGACTGGAGGTCCTGATATTTTGGTGACTCATGGTCTGTGAAGGCGATTACTGAGAGATAACAGCTGAGCTGATTGTGGATGAAACAGCTGAAGGTGCGGCTGGAGGCGAAGAGCCGAAACTCAACAGAAAAACAAGTCAATCTAAAAACAAGCTCTGAACTAAGAATCTGATGTTTATAAAGAGTCTCGTCTCTCCACACGTCGAACACTCGGACCTGAAGCAGGACGACGACTCTTTTTATCTCAGCTGTTCTGTGTGATTAAAACGCAAACATTTCGGCTGTTCTGTGTGATTAAAACTCAAACATTTCGGCTGTTCTGTGTGATTAAAACGCAAACATTTCGGCTGTTCTGTGTGATTAAAACACAAACGTCAGATCTTCTTCTGCTCCTCTGAAGCATTGTGTTTGATTTCACAGTAACTGGGGCGACTCTTTCCTCAGAAGGATTTTATACGATAGGAAGTCCGACAACTCTGTGGAGGTTCTGCTTCGACTGAGCTCAGCAGCTGCTGGTGTCCCAGAATCCAACCCCCCCCCCCCCCCCCCCCCCCCCCAGCCTGTAAATATATATTTACAGGAGCCTGAGCCTCCGTCAGAAACACTCGACACAAAGTACAGTTGGTTTATTTTCATGGTGGGGGCAGCAACCTTGGTGGTTTTTAATGAGTTGGTTAATGCTGTGTTTCTGACATGGGGGGGTCTGGTGATGATGATGGCTGGGGGCTGTTTATGACCTCATCTGTCCTCGTTTTCAATCCACAAACGTCCATCAGTCACGGAGCCGGGCTGAAGCTGTGTTTATTTGTACAGATGTAGAGTGATGGATGAAGGAGGCACAGGTTGTTGTAAAGAGCTTCAAGTGTCTCGGTCAGAAAAAGGAGCTGTTTAAAAACAGAACATTTATCATTTAAAGAACAAAAACTAAATGATAAAATCCTGCAGAACATCCTGCAGCTGCAAAAACTCTGAAGTAGGACTGGATCCGAGTCTAGGATCATTGATTTCACTCCTCTCAGCTTCTCTTCTTTTTCCATTTCAGCTTCTCTTTAGCTCCTTTTGACTACTTTGTTTTTTTTTCAAATTTTATCTGTATTTAGCTGCTCTTAGACTCTGTTTCATTCCTTTCAGCATCTTTTTTTGCTCTTTTTAGCCAATTAAAAAAAAAAAAGTTTTAGCTTTATTTAACTCTTTTTGGCCTGTTTTGTTCCCTTTAGCTTGTGTTTAGCTTGTTTTAACTGAAACTGTTTCAGCTTCTTCAGCAGCCGTTCAGCTCTCAGCGTTCCAACAGAAAATGTCATTTCTCCTCATGCTTCCTTCAGACTCGGTCCAGAATGCAGACTGGGTTTTAAAATACTGTCAAGGTGGTGTGCATCATTTACTGTTCTGCTTCTGCACCTTCATATGATGTTGACATGTTCCATGTAACAAACAGTCTTGGTGTGGCCGCTCAGAAAGGGACAGCAAGAGATCGTTTTATTGTCCTCAAGGTTTGATTGATGTGATTCAGTGACGTCTCTCAGAGTCCTCGAGTCTCCGTCTTCACAACCAACTCCCAGACGAACTCGGCAGAGTGTGTTTGGGGTGGGGGGGTTGAAGGCTGGCGCTGGAGTGATTCTACAAAACTAACTTGTTCAGTTCAGGTCAGAACGGTCAGCGCTGCACAGGTGAAGACACTGATAAGTGTGATCTGTGCACTGATCTGTGAACACTGTTCTCTGAACATTTATGGATCTGATGCTGGTTTGTTTTGGAAACGTCTTTTTTTCCCACAACAAACCAACAATGATGGATTTACCAGTAAAAAGAAGACGTATTGAGCATGTAGATGAGAAAACGTGGCTTGCTGCTCTCGTAGCTAAAACCATCAAACCGGACCAACGTTGGAGACACTGGCCTGGGTTTCCTGGGTGCCGGATCAACAATGAGGCGAGCCGTTTGCTCATGGGCTGCGGTTCGAGTTTGGGCGTTTGAAAGAGTTTCGTGCTGCAGAGAAAAATGAGCCGACCGTATCGATCTTTGTTTATTGTCTGAACATGATAAGAAACGTCGTGTGCAACATTACAAACATCATGAGACAGACGGAGGAGCGCTCCGCTCACATGCACCGAGCGCTCACTCCCTGCGCCCAGAAGCCTCACGCTCTCAGGACGTTCATGTTCCCGGAGCAGGTGAGGAACTTTACACCCCGTGGACGCTTTCAGACAAACTTACATACAAGGCAAGGACACAAGTACACAAAGTGAGAGGAGGGAGGTCCCGGCTCACCACGGATCCCTTCGAGGTGCGTCTGAGTCGAGTTTCAGAGGGAACCATGAGAGCTGTGAAGTGTGAACTCCTCAGAGGGAGAAGCTGGATTTATTTTACAACATTCCTGCAGCTGAGGCCTCCGAGCACCGGAACAGTCTGGAGCTGACCTCTGCAGTCCGGCCGAAGCCTTACAATCCTCTGACGTGAAAACATTCAGCCGTCGCCGGAGCGTTCCTCTGCAACCGCCTCCTCCCCTCAGAGTCCTCCAGAAACCGATACAAAAACAGAACGACGGGCCTCAGAGCCCGTTTGAAAAGTTTCCACTACACCACGAGTACACAGTTTTCACGAGTCATGCTAACACACAGGAACTAGAACGTAGAAGAAACTTCGGTAAAAACGACTCCTCAAAAAGCACGAGTTATAAATTATTAGATGTTTGAATTTACAAAGAATTACACAGCAAGGGGTCAACTATCACACCGGCTGACGCCCTCTCACAACCAAAGTAACTAAAATAATCTGGATTTGGTGATCAGCTGTAAATTTATTACTAACAAGCCGAACAGAGGGAGGCCAAGATGATTCAAATTAATAAATACGTTGATCCAGAGGGGCAGACGGTGCTCCAGTTTATAATAATACAATAAAGTATAAATCAAAAACCAGCTGTGGAAACCAGTTGTGACACTTAAAATAAACCAAACATCTTCATACGTTACATCATCCTTAATCCCTGCTGGAACAGTTATTAGTACAAAATATAAAGTGATCAACAAGAGATACAAAATCATCATTACATGAAAGATTTAATCAGGATTATGAGATTTAATGTCAGAATTATGAAATTTAATGTCAGGATTATGATATAGTCAGGAACATGAGATTTAAAGTCAGGGGTATAATATTTAATGTCAGAATTATGAGATTTATTGTCAAAATTATGAGATTTAATGTCAGAATTATGAGATTTAATGTAAAAATTATGAGATTTAATGTCAGAATGATGATATTTAATGTCAGAATTATGAGATTTAATGTAAGAATGATGAGATTTAATGTCAGAATTATGAGATATAATTTAAGGATTACAATATACAAAGTCAGGATTTTAAGTCAGATTTTCGAGTTAACATAATTTAGTAACAAGCTCTTAAAAACGATGTTGGGTCATAATCCTGACATTGTAGTTCATATTTCTGAAGTCATCTTTTGATACTGACTCATAATTTAGATTTTTAAGACTTTGTACTTTGTAAAGAAAAGACTGAAAGTCGTAATTTAGACTTTACTTCTCATAACTTTGATTTAGAATCTCATAAATGGACTTTAAAATCTTAATCGTTACTTTATTTCTTAGATTAATGACTTTGCATTTTAGATTTATTAATTATATTTCCTAATTCTTACTTTGTGTCATACAGCAAAGCTGAATCTCATAATTCTGGATTAAAAACATGATTTGGACTTTACGTTGTATTTTAAAATTTTCAAAGTGATTTTTCTAACGTTAATTATTTTATCTTGTAATCAAAAACTTTCATAGAGTCTCATAATTACGACGCATCTCGACATGTCTTAGGTGGCAGCGATGGGCTTCCGTAGTTCATCCAGCGTCAGCGGGTCCTGGATTCACCTTCTCCTTCTTCTGGACTGACGAGGATTAAATTACAGCTGCGCAGAATAAATGCGCCAGAATTCCATTAGAAGAGGAAAAATAAGGCCTCGTAAATAAATATTCCGCTCGCCTTGGACCAAATGCTCAGATATTAAAACGAACGAGTTGCTGTTAAAAAAATGACGTTCCCTCTCGATGAGAACGAACTTGATCAAGAAGGATCTTCAGCCAACACCACGAGGCTATACCATCCTGGAGTTGGTGTCCGACGAGAAGTGGCCCAGGTTCTGTTTCTGCCGGCGACCTCGGGTGTTTTTTGGACATTTTCTGAAAATAAATAAATAAATAAAAATAACAGGAAATTTTATATCTTAGTACAAAAACAAATGTTTTTTTGTTTTAAGTAAAACAATTAAAAAAAAGGTTTTATCTCTATGTAGCAACCAGTGAACGATTTATGACAAAAATATTTAGGTCCAGAAAATATTAAAGAAATTTTAAATTAATCCATCCATCCATCCATCCATCCATCATCTTCCTCTTGTTCTGGACTCAGGTCTCGGGGGCAGCATCAGATCAGGGAGGTCCAGACATCTCTCTCCACAGCCTCTTCCAGCTCTTCTGCGAGGACTCCAAGATGTTCCCAGGACAACAGAGAGACATAGTCTCTCCAGCGTGTCCTGGTTCTCCGGGGTCTCCTCCCAGTTTTACATGCCCAAAGCACCTCCTGATGGAGGCGTCCAGGGAGCATCTTTACCAGATGCCTGAACCACCTCAACTGGCTCCTCTGGATGTGGAGGAGCAGTTGTTCTACTCCGAGTCTCTCCTGATAACTGAACTTCTCCCCCTGTCTCTGAGGGAGAGTCCAGCTCTGCAGAGGAAACTCACTTCAACCTCCTGGATCCACGATCTCATTGTTTCAGTCTCTACCAGAGTTCATGACCAGAGGTGAGGGGAGGAACGTAGACTGACCAATAAACAGAGAGCTTTGTCTTACAGCTCAGCTCCCTCTTCACCACAATGGACCGGCACAGTGTCTGCAATACTACAGATGCTTCACCAATCCATCTGTCAGTCTCACGCTCCATTCTTCTCTCACTCGTGAACAAAACCCTGAGCTACTTGAACTCCTCCACTTGAGGCAGAACCTCACCCTCGACCTGAAGAGAACAATCCACCTCTGACTGAAGACCAAGACCTCAGATCTGGAGGTGCTGGTTCTCCTCCCAGCTGCTTCACACTCGGCTGTGAACCGCTCCAGTGAGAGCTGGAGATCATGGCAGGATGTCGAAAACAGGACCACATCATCTGCAAAGAGCAGAGCTGAATCCTGAGGACACTGAACTGGACTCCCTCCACCCCCTGACTGCACCGAGAAGTTCTGTCCATAAAAGTTCTGAACAGAATCTGTGAGAAAGAGCAGCTCTGAAGGGTCCGACTTACTACCAGCTATGAGAAGCAAACTCTCGCACGGCTTGTACAGGGACTGAACAGCCCGTAGCAATGAGCAATTTGTTAATAAAATAACAAACTAGTTAATTTATAATCCAACAGGTTGTTTAATGGATTGAAACAATCCCCCCCGCCCCACACACACACACAAAAAATGTTCAGTTTGTTAATTTACCCGAATTGTATTAAACTTCAAAGTTTAACCTTTAATTTAAGTAATATTTAAGTTTTTTAGAATATTTAAATTAATGCAAAATGCTAAAGTTCATGTCATTTAGTCTAAAACGACTGAAACTTTTTTTTTCGTGCTTAACTAATAGATCAGGAAGCTTTGGTTAGACTGTTCTCACCTTGTGATGCACATCACCACAGCGACGATGATGGCGATCTGCACGGCGCCGATGATGGCGGCGATGAGGACGTAGTGCAGCTTCTGTCCACTGGGGACCACGTAGAGGACGTTGAAGTCCAGAGGCTCGTCACACTGAGGACCTTTGTAGCCCGCATCACACCTGGACCCACAAAGGTTTGATCCTTTACAACTCAGGCGCTGCAGGCTCAACTTTAACCTTTAACCATACCAATTTATTTATATAGCACTTAAAACAGCAACAAGGCCAACCAAAGTGCTGTACAAAAGAAACAAACATGCACAGCGGACAGGAAAACATAAAATAGAAATACAGATACAAATAGCAGCAGAAGCTAACTAAAATGGCCAACAGAGTAGAGAACAGACCGGGCCAAAACAAATCACAACGTGTTAAAGGCAAGAGAATAGAAGTGGGTCTTCAAGCGAGACTTAAAGACTGAGAGTGTGGGAGCCTGCCGGACACTCAGTGGCAACTCATTCCACAGTCATGGACCTGCAACAGAGAAAGCCCTGTCACCTCTGAGCTTACGACGGGTTTCTGGGACTGAGAGAAGCATCTGGTCTGCTGACCTCAGAGAGCGCGGTGGGACATATGGCTGCAGAAGATCAGTGAGATAGGATGGGGCGGAACTGTTCAGTGATTTAACCACCAACAGGAAGTACTTCCTGTGGAGCACCTTCTCCTAAAACTAGTCAGACTCGTTCTGTGTCCTGTTTATACGTTCACTTGTTTGTATCTGAGGGTTCACGTTTACTAAAATAACTCCTCCGGTTTTAACGGACGCTGGCTGAGCTGTGGTTCATTACTCCTACCGGAGCAGAACTCAGAACTTTTTACAGTCCTTCACAGTAAAGGCTGATTTATATTTCATCAGAAGTGCCCAAATCATTTCTCTCTGTTGAAAATAACTTTTGTTCTTGCATCTCTTCTGGGAATCAGTTCTGGACACGACCCCCCTCCCGTCAGAACTATCGTCTCACAGGGGTAAGCTGCAGAACTGTGCTGTGATGTCACTTCCACTGCTCCGCTGAGGAGCAGCTGGCCGAGGCTGTTAGAATCCACAACCTTCATTACGTCTGTTCCATCAAAGACAGTCAAAGAAAACGAACAACAAAAGGAGAAACGTCATCGCAGACCGCTGCCGTAGAAACAAGTAAACGTTGTCTGGCATGACGGTCGTCGTTAGCAGCGTGGAGAGTCACTGACCTGCAGGTGGCCATGTTGTACTTGATCTCACATTTCCCGTGAACACAGAAGCCGGCGTAGCTGTCGGCGCAGGGGACGGGCAGCCCGGCGTAGAAGCCCTCTCCGTGATCAAGACCGGTGGTTTCTGAGCGGGTCGAAGGGAGAAACGACTAAACATGAGGAGGCCGCAGACAGAGGGGGTCACTTACAGGCAGGAACGATTACAAACCAGTCTTTATCTACCATCATGTGCCAACTTACTGGGAAATACCACAAATATTCAGATCCACAGTAGATCAGCCTTTATTCAAGCAGGCAGAGCCCAGAGGTCTGGACCTGCAGGCAGCCGAACGTGCAGGTTTATTTTTGGACTACTAACAGGACTGTTTGGTATATTTAGCACAATTAGAATAAATATGTTTCTGTCACAAACTCCATCTGCGAAAAACTAAACTAGTTTTATTCTAATAGAAATTAAAGGCTGAGCAGAAATCTCAGTTTCTTTCAGTTTGAAAGAAAGACGTCTGGTGTAAATTCTTTTATTTCCACCTCAGTGGGAGGAAATAAAACAGTCGTGTTTCTGCACCACGACTCACCGAAGATTTGAAAAGGATCAGCCAACAAAGAACGACGCACTCATTAAAGTTCAACTACACACAAACGCTACAAAAAGCTCCTAATAATAAAAACCAGCTCTGCATGTTGCCGTGTTACAGAACCCACTCCTGCTGGGTCACCGAGATGTACAGCCGGTACAAACGGCACCGAGCGATAATTTATCAAACATTTCAGGCAGAAGTGTGTCACCGTGGAGAGATGAAACCTGTTGGTTTACTTCAGTGTTGTCAGAGTTTAGTAACTAACCTGAACAAAACATTCAAAACGGAGAAAATGACCAAAGTTAACATCCGATTCGTACCCCAAGTCTCAAAATGTAAAGGCTTTTAAAACTTTTCAGAAAGATTCTCTCGTCTGTTCAAAATGACGAGCTCCAAGAAAAGATTGTTTTCAAGCAAACTAGGGAATGTGCAGGTGCCATGTACAAAATGACATGTGGCAGGGACAAACTGGCAACCCCCAAGTACAAAATAAAAAGTGTAGTGTACAAAAATGACATTGAGGGGACCAATGTGGAAATGTGACGTATAAAATGACAATTACGTGGCACAAAAAAGAGCCTAAAGGTACAAAATGACAACTGCTGGGTACAAAACAGCAACCAAAAGGTACAAAAAAATTGCCACATAAATGAAGACAGCTGCGTATGGAAAGACAATTTTCTCCTACAAAATGGTGACCGCAGTGCACAAAATGAAAAGCACAGGGTTCAGTTTGACAACCGCAGGGTACAAAATAACAATTTCCAGGTACAAGATGACAAACATAGGGAAGAAAATTACAACTACAACAAAGGTGAGGTACAAAATGACTTCTTGGGTACAACATGGCAACTTCAGGGTAGAGCTGTCATTTCTAACTCGGGCCCGGCCCGACCCGAAATTCGGGCTGGGTTGGGCCAAAATAATGTGTTTGATGAACGGGCCGTGTCAGTCTCGGGCTGTGGTGCGATTTTACGAATTATACCGCACAAAGAAAATTAAATAAGAAAGCACAATATAAAACTGTGTTAATCTACTTGTTGCTGTAAGTTTACTGAGGATGAAGAAGAGAAATAAAATAGAGAGCAGCAGTTACTCAGACTGTGAGGAGAGAGGAGAGTAGTGCTGGAGAGCATTGTGCAACAATTGCAATGTGGCCCCGCCCACCAAGTGGCCCCGCCTGCCCTGTGGCTCCGCCCACCCTTTGCTCTTATCACACAGCTGAGGATTTGCAATTGGTTGAAAGAGGTAAACAAGGACATCATCTTCATCTTTAGAGTTTTAGACTATTAGTTTTGTATGCCACTATTCATTTGGTGACTTGTTAATAAAGAAATCTTATGGATTCCTTTCTTTGAAATATGTTTTTAAAATATGTCAAACTGATTTACTCACAAAAGCAGTAAATTTAATTTAAAAAAATGTTGTTTTTTTGGGTTTGGGCCTGTAATTACAATTAATTAGTCGGGTCGGGCTCAGAATAAATATATACAGGATAGGGATTGGATTTTTTAGGCCCGAATGCAACTCTACTTCAGGGTACAAAATAACAATTTCCAGGTACAAAATGACAAACTTAGGGAAGAAAATAGAACTACAACAAAGGTGAGGTACAAAATGGCTTCTTAGGTACAAGATGACAGCCATCGGTTATAAAATGACAACTTTCAAATACTAAATGGGCACCACCCACTGGGTGCAAAGTGGGTGTATAGTTTGTTGGCAGGAGGAATTAATGAACAGCAGTAGTTCTCCTGATCAGTCCAAGACTGCAGCAATTGTTGCAGAGACATGTTCCACCACTTAGAGCAACCAGAAGGTGTCAACCGGCCGTTGATCAACTGGTGCAGCCTGTGGTTCTGTGGCTCCAGTTTAAGACCAGATCAGGTACTTGGGTCTAACTTTGGACTGTGAGGAATCAGCATTTTGCTGTCAGAACGCTGAAACGCTGCCGGAACGATCCGCCTTTGGTAAAAATGGTTTTAACTAATAAAGTTTCTCTAAAACAAACGTCTGCGTGTTAACTGGGAGCAGTGGAGGTAAAAGGGTTCAAGAGGAGAGCAGCGTGGTGGAATCCATTCATAATCCGTGTGTGTGACGTTGATGAAACTACACTTTAACCTGGTTTCTGCCCGTTTCAGCTCAGGTACTGGTGGACCTTTGTGGTTCTGGATGTTCTGGTCGTGGTTTCTCTGGTGCAGAAAATAAAACCTCCTGATTCGGTTTCATCTCGTCTCCCGTCTGAAAACTTAACATTTTCATTGTGCCTTCTTTCTGCTCCTCCAATCTGCGGCTTTACTCAGGAGAAACTTCAGCGCCTCACTGGGATCAGGTCTTAGAAACTGGATCTGTCCCATCAGCAGAGATTTACGTTTTCATTCAACCTTTATTTCTACAACTTGGTCCCATTGAGCCTCGAGGACTCATTTACAAGAGAGACCTGATTTTAATATAGAATGATGACAACAGTGGACAATCATAAAAGCATACAATTTTAGAAGAATAAATGAAAGAAAATGGTATTTTAAAAAGGAAACAAAAACAGCTAGGAGGGTACAGCTGGGGAGTTGAATCGAAGTGTTTTATGCCCCCTGTGAGGACCTCACTGTGTATTTAGGGGTTTCATTAAGTCTGATCCTCAGTTATTGCTCCTGCGCAGGTTCAGATCTTTACAGGCTGCTGGATTATTGTGGGCTGGATTCAAAGCAGGAAGGAGGATTTATGGTCCAGGCGTGTGACGTGAACGCAACACTTCATGGAAGCAAACACAACAACTCCATCGGATTTCCATAAAATTAGGTTTAGACATTGATGTTCCGTCAGCAGGACTCTGCCGAGGGTCTGACTCGGAGTTTATGTCCGTCGTGGCTCAATAAATCGATGGTGAAGCTGAATCAGATGACTAACAGGAAGGAGAGACTTAATGGTTGCTTCACAGCTGGGAAAAGATTTCTTAGTTCTGTCAAACTAAAACTGACCTTTTAAATGTTACTTTGAAGTTTTTAGCTCATTTAGTAAACACTGATTCAACATTTATCTAGCTGTTTTTTTATTTTTAGTCATTTCTTTTCATTTATTTATGTGAAACTACTTCTTTGTGCTATTTTAGCTGTTCATCCATCAAAATGTTCGGCTCATTCAGGAGACGAGTGCTGGGAAGTTTGAGATTTGAAAGTTTCTTAAAAAAACTTTGCTTTCATCTCTTTCAGCCCGTTTTTGTTTTTAATGCTTTTTGTTTAATTATAATGTTATGATTGTAAATATTTACTTGTTGCCTCATAAATAATTTATATTTTATTTGTGATTTCAAATTTAAAAACTGAGGAATGAACAACAAAGATTTACTTTACATTTAGATTTCATTATCATTCTACCACTTTTAGCTTTTCATTAGCCTTTTACTAATTTGTGCTAGCCTTTTGGTACTTGGAAATTTTAGCTAGTACTTAGTTATTAGTTTTTAATAGTTGGTCTGCTACATGTAGCTTTTAGCTGGTTATTTGATTCTTTGATTTCAGTCTTTAGCTTGTGGGTTGCTTCATTTATCTTTTTGCCAGTGTGAACTTATTTCAGCTTTTAGCTAGTGTTAAACTTTTCATCCTTTAGCTGGTGTTTTTCTACTTTCATTTTTTCGATATATCTTTAGCTTTTTAGCAGGCGTTTTAGCTTGTGTTGTCTTTTTCAGCTCATAGCTCATAGCTTGTCTTTGGCTTCATCTGGCTTTTAGCTTGTGTTCTGCTGTTTTTATCTAGTGTTCTAGTGTTTTTTTTACCTAGTGCAATCTTGTTTGTGCTTTTAGCTAGTTCTTTTAGCTAGTGTGATTTTATTATAGCTATTAGCCAGTGTTCTGCTTCTTTTATCAGCTGTTTTTTCCCCAGAGGATTTCACCTCCTCTCCAGTCTCTCTTCCACCTGCTCTCCATTTTATTTCCTTTGGTTGTGTTGATGAACAAGTGTTGTGTCCTGGATGTAACCAGAAGTTTCTCTGATTCCGTTAGTAAAATATCAATTTTGTTGTTTATTTATACATTGAGACATAAAGGAAGTGAATCACGAGAATCAGAAATCAGTGTTTGTGTCTGTAAAGACGATAAACGGTTCTTACCCAAGACGTTCACTTTGAACGGGACGCTGTCGTCTTTCCTGCCCAGTTTTTCTTTATCAGCTGCAACGGAAACAGAAACAGTCGTCACGTCTCAAACATGTTTGCATCATGTTGAGAAACATTCAGCTGATGTCAGCTGTTGCATCATAGAGTCTGTTTGAAACGTTTGTGTTTAGTTTGCCAACATGGCCGCTTCACTTCCTGTCTGTCTGAGCTGCTGATGGAGTGATTTTTGTTTACGCCTCAGGAAGAAGGAAATGTCGGAGGATGTTTACTATCAGCCTGATCGTCAGAGTCAAGGTGGTGAAGGGTCAGTCTGTGTGTGTGTGTGTGTGTGTGGGTGTGTGTGTGTGTGTGTGTGTGTGTGTGTGTCAGAAAGTGATGGATGCTGACAGAAGCCAAACAAAGGAGCGGCGGCGGGCTCTGGTTCGCTCTCTCGTTTCATGTTTTCAGTCTGCAGGAGGAGCTGAGGTGAATGTTAACCAGCAGACTTGATATTCAGTCGGAGAAAAACGTAAAATATTCAAAGTTTCCTCAGAGAGCTGTAACATGCTGCGTCTGGTTGTCAGGTGAGGCTTCATTTGACAGAAGATTGATGAATATTAAATCTAACTTAATGTCAGAATTGGTATTTGTAGTTTTCCTGATGCTGCTCAATAATCCAGGTAGAAAAATCTAAAAAGGTTAAGTCAGGTCCTCTGGACGGGTAAAAAAAACTGTAGAACCGTTTCGTCTTTCATCTGAAAGACGAAACGGTTCTACAGGTTTCATTTTTATTTTTTGAACCCATCCTGAGGACTTGATTTAATTTTTTTTTAGATATTTGTAGTTTAATTCTGCTGTGCTTCATACACAGAAACTAGTGAAAGATTTGAAGATTAGAATTTGATTTAGTGGTCAAGTTGTGTCTTTTATTCAAGACTAGACATTCTGTTTTAAGGCCTCGACAGGTTCATATTTAACTGTTTTTGGATCAGAGCTGAGGTTTATACTTTTACACTCCAGTCCAGCAGAGGGCGATAAGATGCAGGTTTGTCAGTCAAAAAACAGAAAGATGATGCATGCAGGAACTTAGCCCCTGCACAACGTTCCTGCACTCATTTAGGGCAAACACTCTCCGTTTTGGCTGATGCTAACACAACTGCCCGTACTATCGTCTGTCAAGCAATAAATCATATTTATATATCACTGCTGGTCATTAATCTTCAGTGTTACATTAAAAACTGTCCTAAATGATGAGTGAAGTAGTTTAGATTGAATGAACTTTGGGGGAGTTTACGTTCTTTGTTAGGCTGCTTTATGTTCACTGTCTGCTACATGTGAAGGGTACAGTAATTTAATTAAAAAGTTATAAGTTCGCATGATAAATAAAAGTAGTTCAGGTGGGTTAATCACTCACTGCAAAAATATTTAAATCTTTTTTTTGTCTTAGCCAGTTTAAAATGATTCCAAGACGTCAGAATCCCAGTGAAAGATATAACTTCCGATTTACACATAATTTATTTTATTTATTTATATTTTGATATAATGATGACTTCTGTTCATGCACACTATGAGCAACAGAATGGCTGCCTGATCCTAACTGCTCCTTGTGGATGAACCCAAGTCCCTCTACGTTTACAGATTAAAAAAAGCTAATTAGTCATTTTTATTTCTGTGGGCCGCATTGAAACCAGCAGTTTTTGGTTTTCCCCAAAAAGGGGCGGAGCTATTTCTGGGAGAAGATTTTTTTGTTAGAAGTAGACTTTGAACCAGTCTAGTTTAAGTTCATGTCACCAAATGAGACATTTTACTGATTCGAAACATAAATCGGTCTCAGATCATTTGTTCCAGATGTTGACATCTGTTCATTCAGGCCGTTCATACCTTTTCATCTGTTAGAGATGGAATTAATCACTCGATGTTTAAAACACCACGATTGTGTGTCTGTGTGTGTGTGTGTGTGTGTGTGGGTGTGTGCGTGTGTGTGTGTGTGTGTGTGTGTGTGTGTGTAGGGCTAATGGTTCAAAGAAAATACAACATGGCAGCTTCTATCAATAAGATATTAGAGTTTTACTTTTGTACAACAAACATGAATAAAAACTTCTTTTTTTTCTGGTCTTTAGCGCGCAGTTGTCCTTCAGCTGCTTTAAAACAAAAGTAAATTAATTTTAATTCATATCGCTGTCATGACACAACGATTTATTTTTCCTGAGACAAAAAAAAAATCATATTTGTTGTTGTTGTTTTGAGTTGATGTCAAAACAAACAAACTAAACTCCGCCCGGTTTTGATTTACACACAAACATGAATTGGACTTGCTCTCGCTTCAGTTAATGACCGGAACAACTCAGGATTTATCAGCACTTCCTGTTCTCAAAGCAGCTGTTGGAAAAAGAAAAACAACTTTTAAAACGTTTTCTTTGGAGGGAGTCGGTTTCATTAACGCCAAGAAAGAAGAAGCAGTCGTCTAAACGCGATACGTTCGTTTGTGGTTTAATCGGTTTTTACTTCATCACTCAGTGAAAATCGTCGCAGAGAATTAGTGATTTTTCTTTTGTTAATGAGATTATTCATTTCTGAAAACAGCTTTTTGTGTTGCTGCAGTTATTTCTGCAACAAATATTTATCTTAGTGAGATTTATTTTATTTGGATAGAAACATTTTTATTAAATTAAGACTAAACAAAAACGTAATACTCTTCAGACGTGACGCTGATTCAGCAGACAGAAACACACTCGTCCGTTTTTAATCTTCAGGAGGAAATACCGACAGAAGCTCTTCTTCTTTCCCTCCTGTTCATCCCTCTCTCCTCAGTTTGCAGTTCTTTCTTTTCTTCTGTAAAAGTCTCTTTCAGGGTTTTTCTTCTGCAGCACCGAGCCGGAGGCTGCCTTTAAGGATGCGTGTTTTGTCAAAGAATGCCTCACCGTGGCTCCTCTTAAACTTTAATACACTTCTTTTAACCCAACGTGAACGTAAAAGTCTTTCACGTCAAACCTTAATCAAATGAAGGGTCCTGAATTCAGAACGTTTTATAAAGAGAAGAGCATCAGGTGCATGTTCTCTGACATTTACTGATTTATGAAGGAAAAATTTAACTTTTTGGTATTTTGAAGTTTTAGCTAGTACTTAGTTTATTAATTATCGGTCTGCTGCTTGTAGCTTTTAGCTGCTTATTTGATCTTCTGATTTCACAGCATTTAGCTTGTGGGTTGCTTCATTTATCTTTTTGCCAGTGTGGGCTTATGTCAGCTTTCAGCTAGTGTTCAACGTTTCATCCTTTAGCTGATGTTTTCCCCACTTTTTTTATAGCTTTTCTGCTTTTTTAGCACGTGTTTGAGCTCGTGTTGTTTCTTTCAGCTCTTGTCTTTGGTTTCATTTAGCTTTTAGCTTGTGTTATGCTGTTTTTATCCAATGTTCTTTTAGCTAGTTTAATTTTGTTTTAGATTTTAACTAGTGTTCTTCAAGCTAATCTAATCTTATTTTATGAATAGATTATGATTATTGACTTATGAAGGAAAAAGTAGCATTTATTTAAATTTGACTGAGACAACGACCGCTACGACTCGTTGTTGACCTAATATTTAGAGTCCAACGATAAAACTGTTGAACTTTCCCGCAGGAGAACAAACTTCAGATCGGTGGATTTTGAGCTGGTTTTCATTCAGTTTGTGTTTTTATGTTTGGTAACGTTTGCTGGTTTTAACCGTTTGTTGGAATGTAGACATTTATTTAAACTTTATTTTTCTGGTGTATCGCTTTGCGCTTCATCTGATTTCACTTTATTTTCAACATTGATGGAAAACGTTTTGCCTCCTGCAGTAAAGTGACAGGATGTATTTAATCTTGAATCCAGTATTTCTAATCTGATATTGGATGTTTTGATGGGACCAGCACCCTTAGAGTGTTACACCCCCCCCCCCCCCACTGTCCCCTCCCTGAGCCAATCGAACTTGTGGCCCCTCTTAAATCCAGCCCCCCTGGCAGTAAATTCATGAACCCTGCGGGGTCACGACCTCCTGCCAGCATCCACAGAGGCCACATCTCCAGCGGGATGACACATCGTGATTCAAGGTGAGTCCATGAGAATAAATGAGAGCGGGGGCCCGGCCCACCGGACTCTGAGCAGCGCCATCAGAACCCTGTCTGAGCCTCGCACCGCTCACATGCTCCCACAGGAACAAACAGACGAGCCATGTTTCATCCGTTCATTTAAAACGTTGCACCAAAGAGAACCGAGCCTGGGTTCTGCTGGGTCCGAACAGAATGAACGGGTCTAGATTGAGTAAATGAGACACTCAGAGAAAAAACTGTTGGTTCTGCCTGGAATCAGTCGGATCAACAATCTGCTCATTTCACCTTAATGCAGCTCAGAAACTGATTTGGAGGTTTTTGTCTGAAAGAAGTTCATGAAAAACAAAAACGTGGACAAAAACCTAAACTGGACAAATCCGGACAGAGATTCTGTGTTTTTATTCTTATATTTCTAAGAATAATAATTTATATTTATTGTAGTTTGCATATTTTATGGCTTGTCTCGTCTTTTTTAACAATCTTTTGTATTTGTATTCTGTTTTTATTTGACTGTTTTCTATTCTAAAGCTTTTGACTCAGTTGATCATTCCATCTGACTGAAGCAACTCGACCGTATTAGAATTTGAGGACAACCGCCAACATGGTTCGAACAGGTCGCAGCAAGTCAAGGTTGACTCTCATACTTCACAGTTTATTCCAGTTACCTCAGGTGTACTCCAAGGCTCCATTCTAGGAGCTCTGCTGTCGGGAGCAACTGTAATTGCTCCTGGTAGGGTCTCCCAAGGCAGATTGGTCCTAGGTGACAGGCCAGACAAAGAGCGATTCAGAAGACTCTTATGGACAAATGCATACAAGGAGCTCAGTGTCCCTTGCCTGGATGTGGGTTACCGGGGCCCCACCCTGGAGCCAGGCCTGGAGGAGGGGCTTGTTGGTGAGCAACTGGTGACCAGGTTTCAACCCATGGGGCCCGGTCGGATTCAGCCAGAATGAAAAGCATGGGTTTGCCTTCCTGTGGGCCCACCACCTGTAGGAGGGGCCATATGAGTCTGGTGCATGGCGCCATGGGCAGTGGCCAAAGGTGGGGAACTAGACATTCTGACCCTGGTTTACCAAAGCTGCTCTTGGGACATGGAACGTGACCTCCCTGGTGGAGAAGAAGCCTGAGCTTGTGCGTGAGGTTGAGAGGTACTAACTAGATCTAGTTGGGCTCACCTCGACACACAGCACGAACTCTGGAACCGATCTCCTTGAGAGGGGCTGGACCTTATCCCACTCTGGAGTTGCCCATGGTGAGAGGTGTCGAGCTGGTGTGGGTCTACTCTTAGCCCCCCGACTTGGTGCCTGTGTTTTGGACTTTTCTCCAGTAGATGAGAGGGTAGCTTCCCTGCACCTTCAGCTGGGGGGGACAGGCTGTGACTGTTTATGCCTACGCACCTCTTCAGAGTATGTGGTCTACTTGGAGTCCTTGGCGGGGATGCTGGAAGGTGCGATTGCTGGGGACTCCTTTATTCTGCTGGGGGTCTTCAATGTCCACATGGGTAATGACAGTGTGACCTGGAGGGGCGTGATTGGGAGGAACGGCCCCTGATCTGAACCTGAGTGGTGTTCTGTTGTTGGACTTGTGTGCAGGTCATAGTTTGTCCATCACAAACACCATGTTCCAGCATAAGGGTGTCCATAAGTGCACTTGGCACCAGGTGGACCTAGGTCGTAGATCGATGACTGATTTTGTAGTCATGTCATCTGATTTACGGCCGTTTGTTTTGGACACTCAAGTGAAGAAAGGAGCTTTTATTCACAAGTGAGGGAAGAATGGAGCGTGAGATTGACAGATGGATTGGTGCAGCATTGCAGTATTGTGGACTCTGTACCGGTCTGTTGGGGTGAAGAGGGAGCTGAGCTGTAAGACAAAGCTCTCAGTTTACTGGTCGGTCTACGTTCCTCCCCTCACCTCTGGTCATGAACTCTGGTAGAGACTGAAAGAATGAGATTGTGGATCCAGGAAGTTAAAATGAGTTTCCTCTGCAGGAGCTGGACTCTCCCTCAGAGACAGGGGGAGAAGTTCAGTTATCAGGAGAGACTCAGAGGAGAACCACTGCTCCTCCACATCCAGAGGAGCCAGTTGAGGTGGTTCGGGCAAGTCTGACTGGGAGGAGACCCCCGACACGCTGGAGAGACTACATCTCTCTGTTGGCCTGGGGACGTCTTGGAGTCCTTCCAGAAGAGCTGTAAGAGGCTGTGGAGAGAGATGTCTGGACCTCCCTGCTCAAGATGCTGCCCCCGCAACCTGACTTCTGAACAAGCAGAAGATGATGGATGGTTTGGACATGGAGGAGGAACCATATCCACCTCGGTGGACTTCACGACTGTGAATGGTGATATTATAGAAGAGGTAATATTTGACGAGGTGCTGCCAGGCCAGCACTGTAAATAATAATTTGTTCTTAGTGTTTATGTCTGGTTAAAGAAAGGTGAAATGAAATGAAAATGTTTTGTATTTCATTGTGAAAATGATTATCTGAAATGTGCTGCAGCATAAATAAACTGACATATTTTTCTGTTTCTCTACAGTCGCTTTAAAGACTGATCAACCAGAGTTGAAGTTTTCTGTCAGTTTCAGGAGTCGGCAGCAGAGTTTGTTCCTCTGAAGACAAAAAGCTTCATTTTTCCTTCAGCAGCAGATAAACTGATGTTTGTGAGCAGTTGGCCGAGTTCATCAATACAAGACAAATAAAAAAGACGAAGCTCCCCCTGAAGGATTCTGTTGCTCAGGAGAATAAACATCTGCTTTCTGCCAGGAAGTCATTTTACGTCAGTGACTGAACAGATCTGAATTTATTGTGTCGTCTCGCAGCTGCTCTGAAAGTTTGTCGTGCGTCGAACTTTTCCAGGACGTTAATGAGGTTCAGATTAATCCATCGCGCTCCTGCACGCTCAGACTCGTGTCCTAATTGAAAACGCTGCTGATTAATTTGACTGACACGGTTTGAGTAACGAGACTGATTTATTAAACCATCACAGACCTGCAGACGCAGAGTCGAGCAGAGAAACACCAACTGCTCAAAGTTCTGTTGGTCGTTCAGATGAAAAACGCTTCGGGAGGACGAGTCAAACAGCAGAGAAGATTCCAACAGATTTCACGTGACGCACAATGTTAAGGTTTAGAACGAGAAATCAGCCGAGGGAAATTTATTTAAAAGCAATCGCAAAACAAAACAAACGAAAAAAATGGATGAGAAAATTATATAAATTGAAAAAAGTATATTAAAAAATGTAAAAGATACAGGAAAAAATAAAAGGTTTAAAACAAAAATGGTATAAATCAAAAGAAAGAGCAAAACAAAAATAATAAAACAAACATTTTATATCCCTTTAAGAAAACTTTCACAGCAAATTCCCAAATCCATCTTTACTTATCTTTATTTACTTTACTTATAGCAAGAAAAAGAAAATTTTAAAAGATGTGAGAAATAATGTCAAATATGACCAGAAACATTGAACAAACTTTGACAGGAGAAAAACATGAACAAGTCAAATAAATAAGACAAAATCAATAAAGTGCAGTTTTTGATGGGAACTGGGTGTCAATGGGATTTACCGGTCTAAATAAAGGTTGATTGATTGATTTTGAACACCATTCTTTCATTGGTCAGCTCTTCTAGCACAACTTCCTGCAGTTTGTCTCATTTCCTCTCTACTGACACCCACAGGTCAGGAGGAGAACTGCAGCAGCAACAAACACCTTCGCTAAAGCTGTGGATGAACGTGGGAGTGCATGTGCACGCATGCACCATGCTCTTATTTTATTCCATCAATAACCACAACTTGTATGTGAAAGTGTTTTGCAATTTTAAAACAAAACCTGTTAGTGAGCAGCCATTTTTTATTAGGTGGTGAATCTTTAGTCTCAGTAAGAGACACAGAACATGGTTCAACTGTCTCAAAAGAAGCGACGGTCTGGATTCCTGCTCCACTGTGGGATTGTAATGTGACTCACCTAAACATCTGCCCAGGTGTTTGACGTCGATCTGCTCCTGCTTCATGCACGAAGCCTCCCGCACCAGACACGGGTTGTTGTAGGAGTTTCCATCAGTGGCACAGACCGGGTTCTCATTGTGCCCGCTGCAGTCAATGTTACATATGCACCTGAGGTCAGAGGTCAAAGGTCAGCACACTGAACAGCTTCTAGAGGATCTTCCTCAGAGAGTCGCTGAAGACACTTGGAGCTTATTTCAAAACTGTAAAATGTTAGATGTATGTCAGAATAATTTAAAAACATTTGAATATAGTTTGATTTACTTTTATTTCATTGAAGGATTAAAAAAAACAAAATCAACAACAACACAACCAGCTATCCATCTTTTAGATTTCACATCAACTAGACTTTAACTTCACATTTGTCACGTCTAGACTGGACTATTGCAATGGTTTATTATCTGGGTGTCCAAATACTTCTTTAAAACGTCTTCAGTTGATCCAAAATGCTGCTGCCAGAGTCTTAACTGGAGTTACTGGGAGAGATCATATCTCTCCAGTTTTAGCTTCTCTCCATTGGCTCCCTGTCAAATCCAGAATAGAATTCAAAATCTTACTTCTAACCTACAAAGCTCTCAACAACCTAGCTCCATCTTATATTACAGATCTTATTGTTCCATATTTTACTAACAGAGCACTTCACTCTCAGACTGCAGGTTTGAAGATCTGAAGCTCTCGACCTTTGACCTCTCTAAGTGGCTTTAAGAATCTGTTGGACTCTTGGCAGGGACCAATGCAGACATGTTCCTGTTTTTAGTTTTCTACATTCCCCTTAGAATCTAGTTGTTTTGGCTACTTTTCTTTTTTTAGCCATCCTATTTGTAAAAAAAAATTTGTATGACTTTTTATAATTTTGTTTATTGTTGTTGCTGTTGTCCATTGTTGTCATCTTTCTTTGTTGAAATCAGGTCTCTCTTGTAAATGAGTCCTGGAGGCTCAATGGGATTTACCTGTCTAAATAAAGGTTGAATGAAAAAAGGTTTACTTGTGGTTCCTAGAGTTTCCAAAAACAGAATGGGAGGAAGATCTTCCAGTTCTCAGGCTCCTCTCTTGTGGAACCAACTTCCAGTTTCTGTCCGTGAGGCTGACACATTGTCCAGTTTTAAGACTTTCCTTTTTGATAAATTTTATAGTTAGGGTTGGTTTGGGTTTCCTGAGCTGTCTCTTAGTTATGATGCTTTAGGCTTAGTCTGCTGGAGGACAAACTGACCACATGTCCTCTCTCTGATGCCGTCTTTACTTGCTCTACATGTCTGTATTAGAGGTTATTTCTGTCTTAACATGTTTTTATTTCTCCCCATAGAAACTACGCCTGGACAATATAAACTACGCCTGGACCATATAAACTATGCCTAGACCACAGAAACTACACCTAGACCACAGAAACTACACCTAGACCATAGAAACCACACCTGGACAACAGAAACCACACCTGGACAACAGAAACCACACCTGGACAACAGAAACCACACCTGGACTACATAAACTACACCTGGACCACTTCCTGCTTGTCTCTTTCCTGTCCTCTCAAACCCCAGGTGGCCTGGTTCTGGTTTCTTCCTGTTCGAAGAGAGTCATTTCTCTCCACGGTCGCCTCTGTGCTGCTCAGGACCTTGGATCGGGACAACGTGAAGATTCGACTCCATCTTCTGGATATTTATACAGAAAACTTTTGCTAATTAGCTTTTTTAAATGTGCGTGAACATTTGTCTTTGTTTTTTATCAAACTCTGTTCTTCGTGGCAACAATAAGCACCAACACAGAAGTTCTACAAGTTTCAGGTGACCTCCGGAGACACTTAGACCAGATCCAGCCCTACAAACCCAGGATCTGTGTGAAGGATGAAGGCCTCACCAGACGTCCTCCGAGTCTTCGTCACACTCCGCTCCGTATTTACACGTGCTGCATTTGGTGAACTTCTTCCCAACGTCGGAGCCCGAGCCTTCGTCATCTGCTGGACAAACACACAGACCCGGAGAAGGAGACGTGTCTTTTAGTCATAAAAACAAGATAACACGCCACACTTCTGCTCATCAGTTTGGACCCAGCTGCCAGGAGAAACATCTGAAAACCTTCTGAAAACTCCTCATGGACTTCAGATCCTTCAGGTCTGACCTTGGTCCAGTTCAGGAGGAACCATCTGAACAGAGTTCTGCGATGGACCGACTGTTCGAGACGCCACAGGAAGTTCTGACTGGTCTTGTCCCAGAGGACGAAGGGTAGTTTATGTTCAGAACCTTCAGAACCAACGAGGATGAAACAATCGCTGTTTCCCAAAGCATGCTGGGAAAACAACAGATTCACTGATAACTCCAGTTATAGAGGGGCGGCTGTGGCTGAGTGGTTAGAGCAGTCGTCCTCTAACGCAAGAGTTGGGGGTTCGAATCCATCAGCAGTCACATGCTGAAGTGTCCCTGGGCAAGACACTGAACTCCTCATTGCCTCTAACGTGTGTCCCATCAGTGTCTGAATGTGATAAAGCTCTGATTATAGATCTAGTATAGAGCTGTATGAACGGGTCAATGAGGACAGACCGATGTAAAGAGCTTTGAATGGTCCGATAAGACAAAGGAGCTGCATAAGTGCAGTCCATTTACCAAAGATGTGTGGATACATTTAACAAACCATGAAATGTTCTGGTATCATAATCCTGAGCTTGTGTTAACTTCTTAATGTTTTATGGGTTTTTTCTTTCTGTTAGTAAAATATTTCATGAGTGACTTAACAGATTTGAATAAAACTTTCAGAAAGTCCATCTCAAGATGGCTTCCACAGCTAATCAAACACAAAAATGCTGTAACTCAATGAGCTTTCAACATATGAAGCTAAATTTTTGCATGGTAGTAGCTGAGAGTGATCCCCGACACGTTATCTGAGCATGAGCAGAGGTTTGTGCGGCATGGCGGCTGGTATACTTTCATCTTACTTCTAACCTACAAAGCTCTCAACAACCTAGCTCCATCTTATATTACAGATCTTATTGTTCCATATTTTACTAACAGAGCACTTCACTCTCAGACTGCAGGTTTACTTGTGGTTCCTAGAGTATCCAGCAGCAGAATGGGAGGAAGATCTTTCAGTTCTCAGGCTCCTCTCTTGTGGAACCAACTTCCAGTTTCTGTCCATGAGACTGACACATTGTCCAGTTTAAGACTTTCCTTCTTGATAAATCCTATAGTTAGGGTTGTCTTGTTATGCTGCTATAGACTTAGACTACTGGAGGACAAACTGACCTCATTTCCTTAAATTAATTGTTAAAATAGTTTTCATTTGATACTATTTCTATCTTAACGTGATTCTTGACCTGCCATTGTGTATCTATTCCTACCAAACCCAGCCGGTCGAAGCAGATGGTCCTCTTGTCCTGATCCTGGTTCTGCTAAAGGTTTCTTCCTCATGAGGGAGTTTTTCTTTCCACTGTCGCCTTCATGCTTGTTCAAGATGAGAGTTCAGTGATGAGTTAAACTCAAAGCTGCTCCTCACATAAATATCCATCCATCCATTTTCTTCCTCTTATCCGGGGTCGGGTCGCGGGGTAGCAGCTTGAGTAGGGAGGCCCAGACTTCCCTCTCCCCAGCCACTTGGTCCAGCTCTTCCGGGGGAATCCTGAGGCGTTCCCAGACCAGCCGAGAAACATAGTCCCTCCAGCGTGTCCTGGGTCTTCCTCTGGGTCTCCTCCCTCAGATAAATAATGTTAAATTATTATTTTATAGATGAATGTTTCTGTTCAATTATTATTTTATAGATGAATGTTTCTGTTCAATTATTATTTTATACATGAATGTTTCTGTTCTGTCCCTGAGACGACTTCTGTTGTGACTTGGAGCTGAAGAAATAAACTGAACTGAATTGAAACTGAATTTAAGGAGCAGTTAAGACATGGTGGGTGATATGCATTCATCCATTATCTTTACACGCTGCTTCTTTTTTGGGTTGCGGGTGTCCATGTTCAGCCATCACTGTGTGAGAGGCAGGGGACACCCTGGACAGGTGTCCAGTCCATCACAGGGACACAGAGACAAACAACCATTCACTCTCTCACTCACACCTAGAGACAATTTAGAGTTACCAATCAGCCTAACATGCATGTTTTTGGTCTGTGGGAGGAAACCGGAGTATCCGGAGAAAACCCACGCATGCACAGAGAGAACATGCAAACTCCACCCAGAAAGGCCCCGGGATTTGAACCGGGGACCTGCTCGCTGAGAGGCAGCAGCTCTACCAGTTGTGCCACCGTGCTGCCGACATGCATTCATTCAAGGAGCAGTTACACTCGTTGTTTTCATGCCTCAGTTTCAGGGTCTCTTGTTCCACAAACTGTTTATTTTAGATTTCCCTCCTGAACAACAGAACCTGCTGTCGTCGTTTCTTCTCTACGGTTGAGAGAACTACTCTCTTTTCAGAAACTCATCCGTGGATGTTGGCGGTGTCAACTTGGGTGGCGTCCATAAACATGGCTCGGACGCCTGGGGAGGCCTCCTGACGCTGGAGAGACGGCGCCTCATGGCCTGTGATGTTCCATCACCACCTCGCACGAGGACGTCCTCCAGCTCGCTACAGATGAGCCGAAACATCAAAGAGCTGCAGGGACGCTTCAAAGTTCCTTTCATCAGCCGAGACATTTTGACAATTCATCGAGAGAAGATTGGTCGAAGAGAAGAGGAGAGACTTCATGCTGCGGCATAAATAACTGACAGAGCGACAAGTCTCGAGTTATTAAAACCGATATTCAGATTCTGATAGGAACAATTCACGTACGATGAGTTGCTTCACGAACGACGAGTCGCTTCCCATACAACGAGTCGCTTAACATAC